TTTTTGTCGAACACTTGGCGTGCGACTCCGACCCCGACGACCCCGACGACCCCAGCTCCAAGAGGTCGCGTATGGGAGCTTCAAGGTTGTTTCCATGGTTTCCAAGGGGTCGTGCGACCCCGACGACCCCACTGTGGATCCGCCCCTGCCCGTGACTATGAATCATTCCTGCCGGGATACGTACAAGAAAATAAACTTAGACCTTGGAAGTATTCTCGTTGCTTTGGTGTTTACGAAAACCTAATAACCAAACAATAAATCTTCTTTTTCCCATTAGGCAACTAAGAAAGTAGCCAAAGTTCATGGAAGATGTTAGAATTGAGCGTAGCCAAGTTGGTTAGAATAATGTGTTTTCCCATAATTTAAGAAGAAAAAAAATCATGGAAAGGGCCTGCATGTTAAGTGAAAGTGAGACTTGCTTAATAAACTAATATATATACATATACATATACATATACATATACATATATATATATATATACATATACATACATATATATATATATAGCACTTGGTTATTGTTGATGTTTCTAGTTAATCTAACAGAATTAAATGGCTATAAACGAAAGAAGATGGCCTTGTCTTTAAGATCTCCTAACTCATCGATCTATCTATTCCTATATTAATTCATATTTAGCTTTACAAATAACAACGGATAGAGAGGAAAATGGCCTGTCTTGTGGTCTGCTAGTACGTACCACCAGCAGTACATATATACAAGTTTTTCCTTAGTAAGGATCTTGTTCTACTGTAGCAAAAGGCGTCGAGAGATCTTCATAGGAACCCTGTAGTTACGGTATAAGATTTTTGTAACATGAAGCAAAACTGGGAGGATGGTGAAATGTATACATGCATGCATGGTTCATGCGATGGTTCTATACCTAAGAAACTGGTCATATGTACGTATGGCCGAGATACCAATAGGAGCAGTGTCATAATCCGATCATAAATTCAAAATTCAGTGAAAAATGGTACTACCGCTCGATTGCTGCTCATATATTGCTACCTTTGCTAGCCTGGCTGTATTAAATAATTGCATGAATTAACCCAATGATGTGGATTCAATCGAGGGGCCATTGCCCCTTCCCCCCGCACGTTCTGAGGTGTAGAAGAAGGCTGTGCTTCTCAACTATAACATTGCCCATTTAAATGCTCTTATACGGCATTTGTCCGGCAATGTCTTCCCCGTTTTACCATCATCAGTACTAGAAAGCCAGACAATTAATTAGGTGGCCATTGTACTTGGTGTGTAAGGCTTCAAGTCCTTGACCTTCTGTTTAGATTGAAAATTTGAAACTTAGGAAGGACTACAACTAGTGAGTTAACTCGATCGAAGACTTGACAGCTTGATTGGATTTGCGGCCATTCATTGCAAAACCGCGTTCATATAGGGTTTTCCAGTATGGACTGGAGCATAGCATGCATCGGGATCCTTAGTCGTTGGATCATTAGCCATTGAGTTATTGGCTGCATATTCAGCCTCTTGATCATCTAGCTCATGCTATGGGCCGGTTCATTCTAGAATTTTCGGTTCATATAATCTCCGTACGACTCACGAGTACATCTTCAGTAGGGTTGCCTAACTATCAACTTTGGGTAGGGTGAAACTAGCTTGGGTCCATTTTTATCGAAAGGTGTTATACAGATGACGTGATACAGACATCTTCACTCGAGTTTCTCCTCCATCTCTAGGACATGTTTGGGGGCATCCCTATCCAGCCGTTCATTCACCTTGTCCATGCTTAGTGTAGGTTCATATAATATCCATCGTGACTCAACGAATAAATCTTCAATAAGGTTTCCCGACTACGTACTCTCACACCGGGTCAAATCAACGCGGTACTAAAATGCAAGGGGTCCAATGCATTTAAAGAGGTGTAATATAAATGATGTGAACATAGCATTTTCCACACAAGTTTTTCTCCTCCAGCACATGGTGCAACAAACCCTATTTTCCAAAACTGTGTAAACGTGAGAAACTCGGTTGCATGACAACGCATATTAAAGGAGGGAAGTTAAGCTGGTATGGACTTGAAGGCTTTAAATGCAAACTTTTTGACCGGGGCCATAGGGTTTTGCAATCTTGAAAATAAGCCACCCCTTTGCAGTTTGCATGTTCTGGGGTTTAGATTGGTTTGGTAAATGGTGGATAAAAACAGAGAAAATAAGGATATGGACCCCCTTCTTTGTCACCAAAGGCAGTCACTGACTCAGACTGTATGTACTAGGGCAAGTCCTCTTCTTTTGTGATGTAGCTAAGCTTGGGCAGAAAGTAGAACCAGAAAATGACCCAACTAGCACATGCATTTGCTCCCAAAGAGATAAAAGCACAACGCAACAAGCACTTGAAAATATAGTCCCAAACATAACCCTAACACTTAAAACATGAAAACTTGCCAAATATGGAAAGAACTTATACCTTTATGATCACCCCCTCTCCAGTCCTTTAGGTATTGGGTATCTAATAGAGGTTTGCTAATTGGGGATCATTGTTAAGTATCCAAATTAGATGGGTATCAAAAATACTTATTGAGTACTCAACTCCTCCACTTGAATTGGTGGTTTCTTCAATTTAAAGGTCATTTTTCAGAAGAACCTGACCAAAATGATTGACGGTGGACAATCTTAAGGACCACTTCTATCGATTTTAAATCTTAGGAATTAAAGTGGGGAATTATGACAATCTCAGTTACCATTTTAGTTAAAAAGCTTATATAGTGTTTTATTTTATCAAGTTTATAATGTGAGATTCTTACATTCGTCAATAGTCCATGCCATAGAATAGCCACCTAATGGGTTTCAAGTGTGGTTGGTTACATATCGACCATTTTGATTAAAAAGCCTAGAATATTATAACTTGATTATAAGCGCAAATGGTATTACTGTTTCTTTACATCAGCCTAGGTGATGGGTTCGAAACTCGTCATTTGAACCTTGACCCTCTAAATAGTTAAGGAAAAACAATACTCCACCTTTCCACTTGTTGATTTGTTAAATGTATTTGTGCTATTAGAATTTAAAGAAACTCAAATGAAAACTAAACTTATTTTTTTTTAACAAAAAAATAAAATTCTTAAGTACATTTTAGGCCTCTAATTGACTTTCGCACAGGGCCCTTGAAATCTTAGGACTGGCCCTGCCACCGCCATTACCTTGTATATATATGATCAATGATGTACATAGTTCTGATGATGCAGACTGAAGAGAAAATGATCTATCATGGATTCAATTCAGACACAGAATAAAACATGTTTGAGACAACTAGGAAAAAAGTTTGAGGCAGACTACTCTTAACTACCAAATGGCGTAAAAACTAGCTTAGCTAGCTATCCTACATTACATAGAATTCATTTGGAAGTGCCTTTAAAATGGGAAAATGTTTTTGGAACCACTTTTTAGTAAAAATACAAGTAAATCATGAAAAAACACTTGAAGTGTTTTATGCATGAAGTACGTAACTGATGCTTATTGTAGAAATCTCTTTAATTAAGTGCTTTTGAAACCCAAAAACGTTTTCTCTAAAATATTTCAGTCATTTTAAAAGCACTTTCAAATGAATCCATATTGTTCTAAATTTCATGCTTTGCTCGAAAATTAGGGGAGAAATATATGGTTTTTATCACAAATGATCGTTAATCTTTCTTCCTGTCGTACTCTGCTAAAAGTTCTGGTATGATGCTTACGTGGCACATGTGTGGGACCCACAATGCCAATTACATTGTGCCAAGTGGATTCTATGAAGAATCCAACATCTGAAAAATCTTTGAGGTTTTTAAAAGCCATCACCCCCATCTCTTCCGGATTGGAGGGAAGATTTGGCCCCATTACAGCTTAGCTTCGGAACCTGGAGAACCTAAGTGGTTTACATGGAAGTAGCTTAACCATACGTACGTGCACATGTAATGTATTTCAGGTGGGGAAAATTTGTTCATGTCAAGTTAAATATTAGTCTAAAATACTACAACATAAGTGACCCACAACATAAACAAGGACAACATTCTACATATGGTTGGTTGAAATAATATTTGGTACACCGAACCGTGTTTTCGATACACTAAAAAATTTGTTCTCCATTTGAGGGTCTAAACCCAAGATGGATCATTTGTTCGTTCCATACACGGTCGCTTCCATAGCCCAACTTGAAGAGATTACACTTGGAGGCGAAATACGAAGAAATAAAATATTGGAAAGCATGAAGAATCTTGTACATCGGGCACACCTTTGGGGTTGTTGACGAAATGTTATTTTCACGATCTCAATTTCTCCTCTGCACTCATTTTAAAAAATATTGGTTTCTCTTGATTTTTTATTTATGCATTCAATTTTAAAGCTAGAAACAAAAAGAGTGGTGCATAAAGAGAAAAGAAGAACGTAGCGCAGAAAGAGAAGAACAATGAAAATCATTTCTCTTTGTCAAATTAAATTTTCCTAGCTGGAGTAGATTCAATAGCAAATAAGCAACTACCTGTACAAGTATTGGAAAGGTCGTACCCAGTGCACAAGGCTCCCGCTTTACGCAGGGTCTGGGAGAGGTGAATGTCCCTGTACAAGTATTGGAGATTTGAAAATTTTCATCCACCTCTCTCAAGTGAAAAGCACAACAATAGGTTATGTCATGTTATCTAAAATTGGGATGACATGCAGTATTCCAAGTCAATCAAACTACAATGGATTTTAACTCGTACGCATGATAGTATTGAATTGGTTTGGATACTAGTGACGTTACGTTTATAGGTAAGCTTCACTCTAATATCTTGTCAAAAGCCCAATCTTGGAACAACCTGGGCCGATTGATGACTTATATAGAGTTCAAATTCATCATTAGGCTACAACAACAACAACAGAATCTTATCTGCAGATCTTCGGTTCACATTAGTTTCAAGAAAAAACTCACCCAATTATATAAAGCAAATGTTTCTCTAATCTCTCGTCAAAAGCCCAATCTTTGAACAACCTGGGCCGATTGACGACTTATATAGAGCCCAAATTGACTATTAGGCTACAACAACAAAATCTTATATGCAGATCTTCGGTTCACATTAGTTTCAAGAAAAAACTCACCCAATCATATAAAGCAAATGTTTTCCTGGTTTACATAACCTCAGAAACAAAAAAGAAAAAGAAAAAAATTAATATGTTACAAGCATTATGCCTACCGGATTGGAAAACAAAAGATACTCTCCAAAAGGTCACCCCTGTGCTGGAAGGGCTGCATCGGTTATAATCTGGCTAGTGGCTACGCTCTTTCTGCGGCTAAACTGGAATTAACTTGGCTGAATACTCTGGTGTTAATTTATCACTGATGTCTAAGTGGATAACACAGCTTGTTGCTGCGATGCCTCTTCTGTTTGCAAGCTCTCGTAATAGTTGACGAGAACCTTCCATCCCGACGGACACATAAAACCATCAGGAGGGTTTTCGCCGCTCTTTGCATAAGCACGCATCTGAAACAAGTGTAACAAATTATGCAGAGCATACAGAAGAGATATGATTTTCCTAATCACTGATCAAATATCTAATTCAACGGTCGTGCACATACAATTCTATAAGGTTTAATGCAGCTAGCAACATCAGAGAATTTCATCATGTGTAGGCATTCGACACCCGTTGTAGTTTACACACTTGTAGTAAAGATTAAGGACTTATGCAGCAAACAAGGCTGTTCGACTGTGCCATCTGTTCCTGCGTTGGTTCCAGAAAAAAACAATACCAAATTCGGTTCATACCTTGGTTCCAGAGATGAAGAGGAAATCTTTAGCACGTGAAGGATCGAAAAATGCCATCTTCTTCTCCACAGTGTCATAAGCTGCCACCTGCAATTTATAATGAAACAAGAAGATTAATTGACGCACAAAATGGAGCAAATTATCGTCTCTCGAAATCAAGCATTGTATCCAGGAACCACAACCAAGTCATCGAATAAAGCTACCATCTCAAGGGCCATATAAAACCAAGGAAGAATTCATCGGATCCAAACTAGTCGAACTCTGATGTAACACATGCATAAATTTCCGATGACATGTATCAACCAAGCAAATAAGCACAAGAAGGAGCGCACCATATGTCAAGACTAAAAGCAACGTATAGTTTCACGTACCCTGAAAGGCAAAATATTGAGCTTCTCGAGCCCGGGAGCCATGCTTAACACCTTTTTCCCATGATCAGGGTCATATAGATCCCTCTTCTCTGTGGGGTGTCCCATACCAGCAGGATCACGGCCGACAATGTAGAAATTTGCACCTGCATTTATCCGAGCTTTGGCATGCCACTGTACTTCAGTTGGACCCGCGTAGTGCATAGGTGATGTGAATATACCCACAATAGTAGTTTCCGGGTCAAGAACTCCATCCTCTAGGACCTGAACAGAAACAAAACATATAAAAACTACCCATTTTCGACATCCCAATTTGCAATGCATCAACGGTACTTACAATGCAGAAGTGAAAAAACATCCGTTCAACAAAACGAAAATAAAAACGTAGATAGAATGCTATGGCAGGTCAAAATATTTTGCTAGTATATCTTGGTCAACCTATAGCAAATTTACAAATTATTCAGAGACAAATAAAGGGAATGCAGGGAGCGACCTTGCTATGTTGCTCCATCCGAACATCCAATGGCACATCGTCAGGCTTTGTGAAACCTCCCAAGGGATGAAGCAACAGTATTGGATTCTTGTATCCCATGTCCAAGAGTCGCCTGCGTGTGTCGTTCATCAACAAGGCGTGGCCATTATGCACGGGATTTCTCAACTGAAAGGCGAAAACTGCATCAGCTCGACGCCTGTCAAATTCTTTCCGGAGCTGTTGAGGAGAGAGCCTATAGTGATCAAGCCCGTCTTTATATTTGATACGGTCTAGTACTTCCAAGTCTCCGCCAATAAGCCAGTTTCCAGCCGGAGTGATCACCTCCTCAACGTATGGCAATCCCGGCGCGGTTGATCCCCAAGTCCTAGCAATCCTTTCTTCTTTGTTATGCTTGTAAATCTCAATGCTGCAACAAAAAAAAAGTCAAATTGTTAATTACACATGATTTTTGCCACAAGGAGATTCTCAGTAAATTGATAGCCAACAGATCAACATGTTCAGTTCTGTTGCATGTGTGAGTGTATAGTTAATTGAAATCACAATTAAACAAATTAAACAAATTGACTTTTATTAAAAGCAGAAACAAGTCTCAATCTTAAAATGACTGAAAGCGATTTTGATGAAAATATTTTTTAGAACAATTCTTAGTAAAAATCTAAGAGCTCGTTTGGATATGCTTTTAAAATGACTGAAAGCGCTTTTGTTGAAAATGTTTTTGGAACTAATTCTTAGTAAAAATGCAAGTATATTCTGGAAAAGCACTTAAAGTGCTTCCTGAAAGAAGCACATAACTAGTGCTTCTTGCAGAAAGCACTTTAAGTGCTTTTGGAACCAAAAAACATTTTTGCTAAAAGCGTTTTCAGTCATTTTAAAAGCATATCCTTGAAGAGCACTTTAAGGTTTTCTACATGAAGCACATATCTAATGTTTCTTCCAAAATGCATTTAAAGTGCTTTTAAAACCTAAAATTAATTTCACCGAAAGCGCTTTCAATCATCTTACCCTGAACCGTGGGAACTTTGATTTTTGTTTACATCAGGGACATAAGCAAACAAATAATAACGTTCCTTCCGCATGAATTCAGGTGATTATAAAAAAAGAGTAATAAATTTCCATGTGCAAACAATAAATATCAAATTAAAAAATAGTCAATAACCAAATCTTGATCGCTAAACTGATCAAAATCAAATATCGAAACATCCACAACACGATTAAATGGTGACAATGAAACAATCAATTGCTAAACTGATCAAAATCAAATATCGAAACATTCGCGACACAATTAAATAATGACAACGTAACAATCAAACATTGACTGACGTGTTAAAAAATGATTATTTCGGCCAATTTCTCAATTGTAAATACTATAAAAAAAAGAATTAACCTGTTTAATACGCCAACCAAATTACCATCCGGACCGACCAGCCCGACATCATTCGACGACCCGATTCTCTCCTTAGTCTCGTCGTCAATCGCCAACACAATGGGCAGCGACATGTTGACCAACGACCCGTCTTCGATTCGCAGCGAATTAAAATGCAAGCTCTGCAAGTACTGGTCTTCTCTCATAAATCCCCGCAGCGGGCTGGCCCACCCCTCGCTGACGACGTGTACCCACTCGAGATCAATCTTCGTCAGCCGCACCTTGGGCAGGGCCTCCGCCTTCAAAGCCTTGGCAAACCTCTGGCTCTTCGGCACCACGAGATCGACCAGGGCCCCGCCGTCGGGGTCGATCAGGGAGCTCTTGATGACGCCGGACTGAGGCGGGTGAGCGGAGGAGGCGTGCATTGTGGAGTTGTAGGCGACGGAGAGCAACGGGTCGGAGTGGTAGATGGGTTTGGTTCGGAATTTGAGCTTGAAGTGTAGGAGTTCGGTTTTGGGTTTGGAGATGCCGATGTTGTTGTTGTTGAGGAGATTGAGGTGGCGGTCGTGGAGTTTAATCGTGGGAGACATGTTGGTGGGGGTAGGGATTCGGGGGAAGGGAGGAGGAGGTGGTGGTGGAGGAGTGGAGGAGTTGTAGGGTGGAGATCCGGTTAGTGTGGGGGAGTGTAATGCGGTGGCCTCTAAATTTGGAGGCGAACATCTTCGTCTCGTGGGAAGCGAGCGCAGAGGGGAATAACTTGGTTGAACCGAGTGCGATCCACACGTTCGAGGATTGAGTGAGATTGTGGCTTCTGCTTTGGGGTGGATAAATTTTTAGTTGTGACGGGGAATGGTTGTGTTTTTATATAATATGGTAAGAAATTTTATTTTTAAAGTATATAACGATACGTGATATATCATTTCGTGTAACAGTCATACAGAAAAATATCTCATTGAGGTGGTCTCAAGTTGTTGGAGGACTCCGGGGACCATAATCCAGAAGAAAGAAGGAACCTTTGTCAATTTTTGATATGGGCCGTTGCTTTGGAAGCTAATTGAGTGTGGTTACAAAGTTACTATAAAGGGTAGAGGTTTAAAGCCCACCCCTCCACTTATTGACGTTTTGAATTTATCGTATTGAATCTAATATCTTTTATTTATAAATAAAGAAGAATATTACTAAATTACAATGATAGTGTTAGTATAATTAGGGCATTCGCATTTGAACTGGATAATGAGAATATAGCCATATAGGGTCAACTTTGACACCAAGTAAGATCGTGTTGGGTCAACAATGACATAATACATGAGGCTCTTTCGCTCATGCTTTTGTGATAAATGTTTTATGAATGATGTGGTCAAACTTGGGTGTGGATGGAGGGAATATAATGTAGTTCAGTATATGCGAATAGTGAGCATCACTTTCGACCGCTTATTCTAAAGTGGTGACTTTAGATGACACTGGTCAAAGTTGTATTATTGTACATTGCTCATTATTTGTTTTCCCTTCCACTTTACTTTAAGCATCTTTACACCAAAACAGGTGCGGGGACATCATGATCAAATCCTTATAGGTTTAGAGCGTTCATAATGGTGCCTTAAATTTTGTTCCTACCACGTATGTCCTCATGTTTAGAGTTTAGAAGACTTCCAGCGAGGTTGAGTTAAAGTCCATATGATAGAGGGACTCGCCAAATACCTTTAAAAAATCTTCAAATGTGAGAATCGCATAGGGACTCAAATAATGGCCCCAAGGTTGTTTTTGAGTAGGAAACAAACCCCATCCACATGAATGTTGCATAGCAGCGTCCCATACTCTCCCTTCACATGCAAGTGCAACCTTACTTGCCAGGCAACTGTTGATGCAGCGTAGGCATGGGTCCAGTACCGCACTTGTGCCTTTCAACGGTCTAGATAGCCTCTTGTTTTTATGGACGAACATCATACTCAACAAAATAATCTTTTATTTATAAATTTGACGATTTACTATAAAATCCTCATATTGAAAACAATATTCTTTTGAAGCCCCTAAAAAGAGTCCTAAAGAGTGGCGATGGAGACCCTAAAACATTGTTTCTCATTGAAGATGCTCTTACATAAAGAAACTTCTTATATGGCGTAACATGAGAGGTAGAAAGAGAGACATATAAAACAAGTAAAATCAATATTAAATAGTTACATATAAATCAAACCCGTGGAAAGAATCATACAACGTTTGAAACTCGGGGAATAGAAGAGTTATTGTTGCAAGAACATTCTAGGACAACCATAATCACCTACAATTCATATAATACAACAATCGGAAACTATTAATGTGTTATTGGAATTCATATTTTTCTCAATAAACAATACGATATTTACAAAAATACTTTACAACGGACTGTTAACTCACCCACAACAACAGTCAACAACTTACGATCAAATTTATAAAAAACAGATATCGTCCTCAACACCCAAAAAAATCAATGGGCTAAATTGGCTAAATGGGCTTAAGCTTCATGGACCTCGGGCTTGTTTATTAGCAACCATTCGGCCCAATATGTAAGCTTTCCGGTTTCGGGTAGGACGATTTGGAAATGGGAAATACAAACCAAAAAGGAAAACAATACTCAACCGAACAAAACGCTAGGACCTCGTTTACTAAAACATAATTAAAATACGATGAATTGAATTGATGAGTAATTAAATTGATAAGGAGTTAGAATTGGATTATTATTGTAACTGTTTACTAAAGTTATCTGGAATCGGAGTAAAAATAGTATCGATTTCGTATAAGCTGTTTACTAATTTACTGGAATCGGAATACAATCCAATACAATTACTAAAATGTCCTTATCTAAAATAATAAATTGTATTATTATTTATATACTAATTAATAAAAAATTAGTTATTAAAAGAGAGAAACTAAATAAATAAATAATAAAAGAAACCCTAATCAATCTTATCCTTTTCTCTTTCGTAAAAAAAAAAAAAAAAAAACAAAAAAACTTATCTTTATGTTCATAGAAACCCGCCCTCATCGACACCGTAACTCTCTCTCAACCCGGTTGAGGATGGATATTCTCTGGTAATGCGAAGGGTGATGTTGGAATTTTGAAAATAAAGGAGGGTATAATTGGTTGAAGATTTGCATTCCGGATTCTCATAACACCTGGAATTGAATTACCACCTACATATAAGAAATCCAATTCCACCAATACAAGGAATTGAATTCCTAAATTTGTGTGAGCCCTGCTATTTTTTTGATTTCTTAATATTTAGTAAAACAGCGAAATATTCCGTAATCGAAATTCAATTTTATATTTTCATTCCGACGTACTAGATTCGTATATAAACCAAAATCATAGGACCGAAATCTCTACTATCCTTACCTTAACCGACCCACGAGGTTACGAGAAGACACAAACACCCCTGCCCATTTTCCCCAAACCATCACCTTACGTAGTCCAATTTCCAGGGGCACAACCGTCAAATCCCTCACTTCCGTACCCTAATTCCCTCCCCGCGCCCAACTAACACTCGCGCCCTCTTTCTACATTATCACTCTTTCGCCGCTAAAGTTTCCGTCAGCGATTTAGGGTTAGGGTTCCGATTTTCGCTCGCTTTCTCGCGCCTTCTTTTTTTTTTCTCGATTCGCGAGAGAGACTGAGAGAGATCCGTTAATCTGTTAGTCCGCCGACGCGAGCTACCTCCAATTGACGATGGGAGTTCCGGCGTTCTACCGGTGGTTGGCGGAGAAGTACCCGCTCGTGATTGTCGACGTGGTGGAAGAAGAGCCCGTCGTGATCGATGACGTATCGATTCCGGTCGACACCAGTAAACCAAATCCTAATGGGTTGGAATACGACAATCTGTATCTCGACATGAACGGGATTATTCACCCCTGTTTCCACCCAGAAGATAGGGTAACGATTCGATTTAATTTCTTTACAAATGTGTTTGCGAATTTCAAATTTTATGATGTCTAAAGATTTTACCTCTTTTACTGTTATCAAAATTTTGCCTTTGTAGCTGTAAATTTGTTTAGGCGGCTTAATTTTGTTACCTGAATGATGCAGCCTTCTCCCTCGACCTTCGACGAGGTATTCCAGTGCATGTTTGATTACATTGACAGACTGTTTGTGATGGTTCGGCCTCGAAAGCTATTGTACATGGCGATTGGTGAGTGTTGGAATTGGAACGGATGTTATGTTTTATAGAAAAGTAGAAGGAAATGCAATATCGTATGAAATTTGCGTAATGCTAATTGTTGGAAATTATTGATAGATGGTGTTGCCCCCAGGGCAAAAATGAATCAACAGCGGTCTCGGCGATTTAGGGCTGCGAAAGATGCAGCAGACGCGGTACGTCATTCTGTGGATTCTAGGTGGGTCCTCCATGTGTTTGCACGTGAAGGGCTTTTTTTTTTTTTTTTTTTTTTCTTCTTCTGTTAATTTCTGATATGTTCATCAATTGCAGAGAACTGGTATGTTTATATATCCTCTGTAGCTGAATCAGAGTGGTGTTTATATTTAGGAGTTAACAAGTGATGTTGACAGAAAATTATCTCAAATATCCCCGTTAGTGCTAACATCAATTCTTATTATATGCACATTGTTATTTTTACTAGTCATTGTTTGGGTTATGCAAGTGATGCAGTTTGTGTAATTTTTGTTATGAATCCTGATAATCCAACACAACCTTAATGGAGTTGTGGAATGTGTATTTGCAATAAGATTTTTTTTTTTGGGGGGGGGGGGTCATAACTCAATCTTCAATCTCGTATTAAGGAAATTGAAGGAACATAGCTTCTCATGTCTCTCCCGCTTCCCTGGTATTTGTGTATACTCATTGTTTTCCTGAATCCTTGCCTGTCACATTTGTTCCATACTGTTATACAGCCTTCATTGGCAGGGGGAAGTAGATAGGAGAAACGAAGCCAAGTCTTTATATTTATTGATTTTTGGTTTCTCTTTTATAGGCAGCTGAAGAAGAAAGGCTGCGTGAGGAGTTTGAAATGGAGGGGAGAAAGCTTCCTCCCAAACAAGACTCACAAGTTGTTGATTCCAATGTCATCACTCCTGGAACTGAATTTATGGCTGTTCTGTCAGTAGCATTGCAGTATTACATCCATCTTAGATTAAACAATGACCCAGGATGGAAAAATGTTAAGGTATTTTCTATGCTTTGTTCCCTTGGCTTCCTGAAGTTGTATTGTGTTTTATTTTTGCAATTAATAACTAGTACCTAATTTTATTGCTCTATCAATGCTGATGAATAATCTTTTCTTACCAATTTTTTTTAATATTTTGTTTTGGCAGGTTATTCTTTCTGATGCAAATGTTCCAGGTGAAGGTGAACACAAAATTATGTCCTATATTCGTCTTCAAAGAAATCTTCCTGGTTATGATCCAAATACACGCCATTGTCTGTATGGTTTGGTATGTTTCTTCCTTCATTACATGCATCTTCTCATACCCCTAATTCATTCATCCATTGCTTTATAAACCCCCCTGGTTATTCTGGTAAATTTTTTTCCTGTAGTCTATTAATGTGTGGTCAATTACAGGATGCTGATTTGATTATGCTCGCTTTGGCTACCCATGAGGTTCATTTTTCAATTCTTCGAGAGGTATGTATTTATGATTTTGCAATTTTTCATTTTAAAAATCAATTCAACTTTGTTTTTCTGTATGATTGGCATCTTCATTGGTTTCAATTCTCCTACAGTGTGTTTCATGATTTCCACCTTCATTCCAACTTATAGTTGTAATTTGGCTATGCAACATTCCAGGTTGTATTCACACCCGGACAGCAAGACAAATGCTTCATATGTGGTCAGGTGGGTCATTTAGCAG